TCTCTTGAAGAACTACAGACCGATTTCCCTTGTGAGCCGCGTGTTGTTTTCGAGAGTCATTACGAATCGTCTCGCACGCAGCCTCCCGAACAAGCCCGTTTCCGAAGAGGCTTTAGTACCATAGACCACATACACACCCTTCGGCGAATTGTACAGAAGACAGAAGAGTACAATCTGCCCCTTTGCCTTGCGTATGTGAAAGCCTTTGATTCTGTCGAAATTTGGGCGGTACTGCAATCCCTTCAGCGGTGCCAAGTTGACTGTCGGTATATCGAAGTGCTGAAATATTTGTACAGCAGGGCTACGATGGCTATCCGAGTACAGAATCAGAGTACCAAACCTATCCAACTGCAGAGAAGTGTAAGACAGGGTGACGTTATATCCCCGAAACTCTGCATCGCTGCATTGAAAGACGTTTTCAAGCTAAGAAAGATGAACAATATTTCAATATAATATTTAAGGACATCGTAAGCCGGGCGGATGCAGAATTATGGTTCAAAAATCTTGGAGGTTGGTGCATATTTTGGATTTGGTTAACATTGGTGAACATTGGACCACGCTCTCATAGAATACCAGCGTTAAATAACAGCTTAATGCTGCTTTGTTTCGTTTGGTGTGTGTAGAGAACCGGAGACCTATTTAACTGGAAAGGAGGCATTCCATAATAGTTCTCAGGGGTGAAGACGCATCTGCATTTTGATTCTTAATCGAGGATAGATGGAGATGTTCATGGGCACTGTATACACTTCCATCAGGTGGACTGTGTGCTCGTTTGTTACTTCTATTCTATCAACAATTTTACTGTCCGAGTTGCCATGAACAAAACGATCCATACAAAACCCTGATGGGTGAGGAAGTGGGGATACTACAAAAAGAAGAATGATAATGACTGATAGATGTCTTAACATCGATACTTATGGCGTTTTTCACATGCATTAAATGTGATTAACCGTATACATTAGTAGATAAGTTATCTTTACTACACTGCAAGTGTATATGTTTCGTGATATAATCGAAGTCAAAAGTACTTGGAAATTAAAATCGACTGTTTAATGAATGAAAAATAAACCGATACAAACAATATATCTGTAGTTTAGAATTCTATATTTACAGTTTTTTTTTTAATGGAAAAACAAGTGTGAAATATAAACAGTTCCTTCTGAGTAAGATATTTACCTCGCTTTATTGCGATAACAGCATCAATTAGATGATACTGTTCTTATTACGCGAGTCAGATGTAATGTGACGGATCATATTAATTTATCAATTCTGTTCGTTAGAAGTGAACAAAGGTAGGTTTACTATGTGGAATGTATATGAAAAGTGAAATAAAACATTTCGAAATTCCGGGATCGGTCCATTCCACTTTTTAAAAATAAATAAATGAAAAATCTCCAAGTCCAAGAACGCAGCCGTAATACGGCTGCCAGAATTTAGAAGCAGTTAGACAGAGGAAGTTTTCTTACTCTACGGTCATTAGAGTTGCTCTAGATATCTACTGTGACGTTTTCTTTTGCCTTGATTTTAAAATTATACTTGGGTTTGGATTAGTTTTTAATTATTACTTATTTCCTGAAATTTTTATTCCTCAACAAAACTAACTAGCTAACATTCATTAATCAGCCTGTACTAAAAATAAATAGACACGTACAGCAAACATCCTTATAATAGAGTTTATTAGTTATTTTTCCTTGCACAATTCTCAAATAATAAACAGCTTACAAGAAACGATCTAATAATTCGCATATTGACCAACTACCAGTCTTAGTAGGATGTGTAAAAAAATTATATTTTTTTTTACAAATAAAAAATAACGCGGATACAAAAAAAAATATGTGTTTGTACGTAACAAAAACATTGCAATTTCAATATTTAATACTTGTAACTTTTATTTTTATTCACTCCTTGTGTCTCTCTACACCTAACGACTCCCAGTCTGCCTAAAGGTATGATTCCGATCTCGACAGCAAGCAGCAGTACTGCCGCAGCAGCGATGCGACTGTGGTGCTGCGCAGCAGTGCTGTCTCCTGATTCCGAGCAAGGCGGCAGTGTTACCCTGTTTGTAGTGTTGCGCTATTGTGTATTCATTCAGTTGCTTTGAGTTCACAAGATTAAGATTGATTAAGTAACAACTTTTATTTATATTGTTGAAACAGGAATAACTTGTTTTATTGATCTCCAATCACAATGAAATGATATTGTCTTTAATAAAATTATTATGATAATTAGTATGATTGCTATCGTAAAGAGCTGGGTATAGAGTACAACCAAGTTAACTAATTGTTCCTCTTCTGAATCAGATAAATTCATATTTTTATTGCCACTTTAGACAATATCGGCAGGGCGACACTGCCGCGCAGCAGACCAGCAGTGCCGCGTTGGGAATGTAATCTCATATGGTTTAGAGAATATATGGGGACCAGTAGGCGTTGCAACAGCCCTGCCGCGACAGCACTGCTGCGTGCAGCCGAGTTCGGAATCATACCTTTAGGGTCTGTCTGGGTAGGCCCACTTACCTATTGCTGCCGCCAAATAGCAGTGTACTCACTGCTGTATTAAGGGAGCCTGTATAGCTACAGGATTTGAGGCAATCAATTTTAGTCCTCAGAGGTGACAACTCATCTGTAGCCTTTTGTTTGAAGTTGGTTGCAGGTGTCTACAGGCTGCAATGGTCACTTACCAACAGTTGGACTTTAAATTCGTCTATCACTTCAGTTTTTAATTAAAAAAATATAGTTTTGACGCACTTTTTCATTGTGAAATATAAATATATAGTTATATATTCATACGGTCATCGACATAAATATATTGTTGTACTGATGGGAATACCAGTACATATATGCTTGTATCAGAAATACCCGACCCTATGATAATATTACAGTTAGTAAAGTTTTCAGAGCAGAAACAAGTGGTAAAATTAAAAATTTTGTACAATCGACTTCAATATAAATACAATGAGAACATCACCAATGTACTGATCAGATCTTGATAAAATTCATATGAGATCACATGAGAAGCACTTTCAAATAAAAAAAAAATCAGTAAAATCGGTTCACCTAGAAAAAGTTCTGAGTTAACATAAAAAAAAAAATATAAGTTAAACCCGGTCTCGCTAGAAACTAGAAGATAAAAGTTGACAGCTTCATGGTTTGCCAAAATTCACTAACGCCGTGAAAATTCCAACTGAGCTTCCCTTGTATGTGCTCCCAAATATATAGTTATATTTGGGACCACAAGAAGTATCGTATTTTGTTTGTATAAAATTGAAGAAAAATCTCTTTGATTGTATGTACTGTTTGTGTCTGGTTGATTTTAGTATCAATACATATATAGGACATTAAGAAAAAGGTAAAAATAAAAAGTAAAAAACACTTTCCCGCCATTATTTAATCGTTTTTCTGTGCGCCCAAATGAGTGAGCCTTTTTTTTTTTTTGCGGATGGAAAATCATCAAATGACGCCTTTCGCTCTGGGTGGAGCGGAAGGGAGTGTCAGACTTTTACTGACTAAAAACCATCCGTGTTCCTTCAGTGCCCTTACGTTCCGGAGCCGCGGTATCTCTTTCGAACAGCCCGCAGCCCCGGCAGGCGTTGTCCCTTGCGGGCCCCTTCACGCTGCTGACAGCTCTTTGAGGCGCGCGTGGAACAAAACGCGCCGTCGACACGGCCTGTCGTCGTTAGACGGACGGACGGCGAGCTACCCATTGCTCGCCGTCCACAGGCCTGCGCCTACGGTGGCCGGGGGCCACGACGTAGCCCCCGACGCCCGGGGCGTCTCCCGCGGCGGCCGGGAAGGAAAGCTGCTGCTCTCTCCTTCTCCCGCTCCGCCACCTCCTTCGCTAGCATCACTGCTTCGCAGAAGGTGGTGACGGCATCCCATTCCGTCTCGCTCCGGACCATGGCTTCGACCAGGGCCGGACGCGAGAGGTCGCCGCCGCCTATCGCCGCTACGAGGACACGGCGGTGAAATGAGTGAGCCTAAGGAAGAAATTCGATACATTCTGAAGTTTTATTACAAAAAAAGGGAAAAATGCGACTCAAGCCGCGAAAAAAAATTGTGACGTTTATAGACCTAATGCAATGTCAGTAAAGAGTACCACAAAGCTGGTTCAAGTGTTTTCAGTCCGGGGATTTTGATGTCGAAGATGCAGCTCGATTTGGTCGCCCTCATACGGATAAAGTCAATGCCATTTTTGAAAAGTGGAGAGCAAGATCGTCATATCATTAGTTACAACATAGCCGAGGAATTGAGGATTGAACACAAAACAGTTTTGACCCGTTTGAAAAAGTCTAGCTATACAAAAAAAAGCTCGATATTTGGGTACCACATGAGCTTACTGAAAGAAACCTAATGAATCGTGTACTCATTTGCGATTCTCTATTGAAAAGTAATGAAACCGAACTGTTTTTGAAAAAAACTAATCACTAGTGATGGAAAGTGTCAATAGTCAAAGGGTAATCAAGCTCCACAGACTGTAGTGAAACCCGGATTAACCCGCAATAAGGTGATGCCGGTGTATGGTGGGATTGGAAGGGCGTCGTTTATTATGAGCTTTTACTGCCGGACAAAACCATCGATTCGGATCTCTACTGCTAACAACTAATCTCAAGCAAGAAATTGAGAAAAAACGGCCGAATTTGATCAACAGAAAAGGAGTGATCTTTCATCATGATAACGCCAGACCACACACATCATTGGCCACTCAGCAAAAATTGAGAGAGCTTGGTGGGAAGTGTTAATGCATCCACCATATATAGTCCTGACCTTGCACCCTCAGATTTTCACCTGTTTCGGTCTCTTCAGAATTCTTTGGGTAGTGTTACGTTAGGTTACCATCAAACGTGTAAAATGTGGGTACATTTTTTCATTCATCATCATTAATTATTTAATAAGATCATTAACCAATAAAAGAAATTCCACCAAAGACTACCACTATTCTGCTGATGATATTAAAACACATATCTTAAAACGGAAAATAAATATCTTAAAGTAGATACTCACAGTTGTTGCAGTACGGCTTCTGATAGACCACGATTGCAGCTGGGTAGCCGACACCCTTAGTGCGTATCTAGCCTTTAGTATTTGCATGTTTATTAATAGCTTAATATATATTAACTATATACACTTAATAAGTACAATGTAATATTTTACAGATTATCAATCTGTATAGTACTTAAGCATCTAGTTATTTCATTTTCGATTAAAAAATAAAATGATATATTAAAAAAATGTGACTAGATTTTATATTGTAACTTCTTTCGTTTCGACTCGGTCGTTTTATATCTGAAAAGAAGAAAAAACTGTTATAAGATCGCAAATGCATAATATAATCTATACAAATAAATAAAATTGAAGTATCTGTTTCTGTTTGTAATGTCAAAATAACAGTTTTTTACTATATGCATATGAATGAAAGTACATTATACGGTGCTTATAACAAAAAAACTATTTTTTTAAATTTTTTCTGTCTGTTTGTTCCGCCGGTGTTGCAATCTCCGAAACGGCTTCATTGGCAGGTAGCTGTTGTTATGAGGAGTATCTTAGGTTGCTTTAATTTTGGAAAAAGAATTATTCTCCACGCAAAAAAATTAAAACCCATAAAATCTAGTCGTGACAAATTCCACGCGGGCGAAGTCGCGGGGAACACCTAGTTACACAAGCAAGTTAAGGCACGTTTATCAAGTTGCAGGTATTAAGTCCCGTCAGTGAAGACTTTCTTTTCTACCGACTTCAAAAAGGTACGTGGTAGAGCCATGCTGCAGCTATATTAGTAGTATAGTTGTAGCACGAATGGGTCGGCTTGACCGGGGAAGGACCACGCTCTCACAGAATACCAGCGTAAAATAGCAGTTTAAAACTGCTGTGTTTCGTATGGTGAGTGTAGAGAACCGGATACCCTTTTTACTGGAAAAGAGGCATTCCATCTTAGTCCTCACGGGTGACAACGTATCTGCATTTTGATTTGCAAGCGAGGATAGATGTAGATGTCTATGGGCCACAGCAACCACTTACCATCTGGTGGACTGTGTGCCCGTTTGTCACCCTATCCTATAAAAAAAAGGAACCGGTATTCAATTCGACTGTATGTTTTTTTTATGTCACTTTTTACTGGGTGAACCGATTTCGATGATTCTTTTTTATATGAAAGCTGGTGCTTCACGTGTGGTCCCATACAAATTTGATTAAGGTCTGACCAATAGTTATTGAGTTATTCTTAATAATTTATATTGAAATCGGTTGTACAAAAGTTATAATTTTAAATTATTGTTTTGTAATTGATGCATGTGATTTGTTTTTGTATTGATTCATCGTTATAAATCCATCACAAGCCTCCTCTATAATAGGATTTCTTATCGCCGCTTTCAATCTATCTTTAAAACGGCAAGTATTTAAACGAGTGAATTTAAATTTATGGTTTAAAAATATAATAAAAATAAATACTGGTTATCAAACTACTAAGTGAGCGTGATACGAAGTCCAGAAGCAGTGACTGATAAATTTTAATGTTATTTACCACTTACCACGATCAGCGTAATATTGTTTGAGCGACCTAATTTGTACAGGAGTTACAACATTGTCTCGTAGTATCTTAGTTCAAAGAGAGGTATTATTTTCAACACTTGGCCAATCTTTATAAAAAGAAAAGGAGGTTCTCAAAGGAATATTTGCATGCATTTTACCACCTTGTCCGATTTCAATGATTTTTTTTTTTATAGAAAAGTAGTAATAGTACCTTAGGTATGAGCTCATATGAATTGGTCAAGATCTGACAGAGGGATTCATTAGAAAATCATCACTTTGCAAAGGCATCTATGCACGACATATGAATCGGTTTCGATGAATACATTTATTCATTGTAGTTCTTTCAAGTAGGTTTTTACTTTTTAATAGTTACATTACATATTAAAACAGAATTTTACTTAAAATGAAGCGATTAATGAAGGGAAACCTCATCAAGAAATATCTTGTTGATTCGCTTAATATAATGATAACATTAGCCTACGACAAAACTAAATGAAACTAAATTTAGGATCAGAGTTTCGTTTTGAGCATAGGTTAATGTCATCTTTTATTTTTATTTTATTTTTCACATAAAATGTACAATTGGCGGACTTAATGCCTTTGGACATTCTCTTCCACTTGCTATATTATCTTTCACTCAGTATTTCAGTTCCCCGTTTAGTATTTATATAAAATGCGGTCACTAAGGAGTATGCTAGGGCTGGATCTGAATGACAGGGTGAGAAATAGTGTGATAAGAAAAATGTGTGGTTTGCAAGATGACGTTGTGACTAGGATTAAGAAAGGAATGCTTCGGTGGTTTGCTTATGTAGAAAGAATGATCGAGGAAAGAGTGACAAAGCAAATTTATGTTGCAGAAATGAACGGCAGCGTCGGGAAGGGATGCCCTAGACGAAGGTTTATCGACCAAATCGGCGATACATTGAAAATGGGCCAGATTAGGAGTACCCTTAACCGACGAGCGTGTATGCGTAAATATATGGATGTAATAGCACGTGAGGGTAATATGGTCATTTTCTCATAACTCAAAAACTACAGCCTTATTTGCATGGGTGGTTCTATGATACGATAGCTCTTCATCAGTCAACCAAATAATAAAGGATCAAAAGGGCGCTGCTTTGTCGACGCCATTTTGCCTATGATTTTAGTATTGTGTACTGTAGTTAAATTTTTCGAACTGTTCCTAATTATTGCCAAAACTTGTTTGCCCTTTTTTTCTTAATATATTAGTTATAGTATACGACTTGGTGTTTTTGTCTCTGTCCTCCATCTAGTTTTGGTTTTATAGGGCGGCTAAGCTTAAGGTGACCATATTACCCACACGTACCTTCTTTATATCGCTCCCTTAAAATTTTAATGCGTATTATGGATCTAATTCTTTGCTGACTTTTGCAACTCGTTTTATACTTTTGAAATTACATTAGAAATCAGTCCGGTAAATTTTTCGCAAAAATAATGAAGTGTTGTTCAAAACAGTATCTTTTTCACCTATTCAAAAATATCGAAAAACTTTTTTGTAAATGCGTTGTAATTTTGGATACATAAGTCGATTACGTAGACAATGTTTGAAAATGAGACAAATAAACAATATACTATATAATAATGTAGATGTGTTAATATTAAGTAGATATCTACAAAATACGGTAATTATAACTATTATCTGTATTTGAAGGCGTCTTAACAATGTCGTTGAGGTCACATGCGATAGATAGATCCTAATGTGAAGATTTAAGAATATCTTTTAAAAACTAGCTGTTCCCCGCGACTTCGCCCGCGTGGAATTTTTTGCGCGGAACCTTAAAAGTAGTTTAAATTACTTCTTATAACATCAGCTATCTGCCAGTGAAAGTCCCATCCAAATCGTTTCACAGGATTTTGCGCGATGCGTATTCAGACAGACGTCGTGTTAGTTTTATTATAGTATAGATAGATATTGTGCAGCTTTATTTTTTGGTTTTTAATTTTATTATTCAGGAAGGAATGCTAACACACAACATTACAAGCGAAGAGACGATAATGTACGTAAGTAACATTGACTAACTTTTGCAATTCAACGTGCAACCTTCTTCAATATCTAAAGAAACAATGGCGGTTCTCTACGAGAAACTGTGTTATGAAATCCAGAAGACAATAGCGTGCTTAATACAGCCACTGCCAAGTTCTACAATTCTAGAATATCGGATCAAAAACCACGGTGACGATTTTCAGGCTTGAGTTTGAGAGGAAAGTTACGTCTTGTTTAAAATCCCAAGCGATAATTATTGGTTAGTTCTAGAATAATTTTTTAAAATAAAACAAAACTCAGTTAAATCCCGTAATGAAGTAGGTGAAACAAGTAGTAAAATTAAAAATTTTATACAACCGACTTCAATATAAATTATTAAGGACCAGGGGTGTCACTTCCACTATGGAAGGTATGGAGCACTCCATACCTCAAGTTTTTCAAGGTATGGAATTCCATAGCTGAAATTAGGAAATAAATCGCATATTACTACAAACCCCATATAAATAAATCGCAAGCCCTTAAACCTCAATACCCCACATCTTATAGTTCAATAAATAAGTTGAGTATATACACTGCAAACTCTTAAACCTTAATACCCCACGAGTAATGCGAACAAATTTGAAAATCGCGCCACCATTTTCCATACCTCAGATTTTTACAAAGTGACACGCCTGTTAAGGACTAGCTGTGCCCGCGGCGTAGCTCGCGTATATAGGTTTTACTTAAAGAATTTGACGTTTAGGTAAGAGAATATTAAAAGATTTATATCATTACTGTATGAATAAGTGGCACCAAAATAAATCGTTATGCTCAAAGTTCTGAGTCGTTTGTGATAGAACTTCTGTGTAAACGACGTTAGAAGTAGACAGCCGGGGCGTACAGAAAAATGTTACGGGAGCTACTAACGCGGGAAAAAGCAAGATAGAGTTGGCCATGTGCAAAACAGTCAGTACTGAGGTCCACTCCTGCAACGCGTAAAGTTTGACCTTGCGCTTTATTTACGGTCATCGGTCATCGCATAACACACGCTGACTGGGAATGGGAAGTGGGAACAGAACACGCTTAGAACTGAAAGGAAAATTATTTGATATAAGGTGGATTCTTGGTATAAAACAACATCATGACATATTGTTTTTGATGCAATTTTGCTACGTTTAGCTTGGGCGTACGTATCTTTTTTCTGATATCTGTTTTTGATGATGTTTGTGCTGTTAGCTTACACCCTACACGGCTCTTTCAGCTTGAATGGACTCGTTAACGTACAACGCCATCTATTACGTTCTTCGTGGAAGACATCCTTTTTTAATTTAAGGAAAACATATTTTTTGTTTACTGTGTTTAAAGTATAAATATATTATAATAAAACGTTTTTTTATAAAAAGGAATCATTTTATTACTATTTCTGAGGTTTTATGGCGCCTTTAAACAAATCGAACCTACATTTCAAAATAATAATCAAAACTTTCGATAGAATTAACCAATTTTAATAAAACAAAGTTAATCTTTGAACTGGATGATACGCTTTATGATTTTCTAAACAATTTCTTTGAAAAAAAGATGTTTACTTAAGACGTGATGCGTTCATAAACAAACAGACAGACAGACAATTCTAAAAATTATAAAAATGTACTTATTTAATGAGTTTCAGTCTCCATAATGAATTTAGTCACAAATTAATATACTATACAATGTACAGAATCAGACACAGCATGTGATTACCGCATGTATAGAGATATAAGGATAGATGGCGCTGTTA